AAGGTATAAATATGCGAAATATATCTGACATAAATAATTAACAGATATAAAACAGATCTGAGGCGCAGCGATCCGCAAACAAGTTCACGGAAAAGAAACCGAGAACAGATGACAGAACGCGCATCCTGTTTGTTTGCTTAATTACAAAAACACAAATGTTCTTTTTATTGCGAATGTGCAAATATAAAAGTAAACATTTACATTTAGTCATTTAGCAGACGCTTTTATCCAAAGCGACTTACAAATGAGGACAATGGAAGCAATCAAAATCAACAAAAAAGCAATGATACGCCAGTGCTATGACAAGTCTCAGTTTAACGTAGTACACGTAGCAAGGTTTTTTGTAATTATATAGGCCTAATAAATAAAAAGAAAACAGATAGAATAGAAAAAGAATAGAGCAAGCTAGTGTTAGAGGCCTTTTTTTGCTTTTGTTAACTGTATAATAAATAAAAAGAAAAGAAATAGACAGAATACAAAATAATAGAGAATCTAGTGTTCGTTTTATTATTATTATTATTATTATTATTATTTTAACACTTTGCGGGTTGTCTTAGTCTTATCTGTGTGACCAAAAATGGAGTATTTAATGTGTCAGCTGTTTGATTGCGCCGGCGCCTCGCGCGCGCGCACACACACACACACACCACATATTCTAGCAATTCAAACTTGCCAATGTCAGCAAGTCACCACAATCACCAGCTACAACTTACACCAGATCACGTTCACCTGAGTTCTGATTCCCTGCACCTGTCATCTGCATTCAAGTCACTATTCAAAAGCACGCTCCTTCCAGTCACTCACCGTCCGGTCTACCGTTCACTACCCTGAACTTTACCAGGCTCACTATATGCTACTTGTCTATCTACTTGCCCTTAGATTCCCATGGTTCCTCGTATGTTACCAACTGCTCCCACTCCCACTGCTCCGGGTGTGTGTTCACGGTGTGTGTGTGCGCACTTTGGATGGGATAAATGCAGAGCACTAATTCCGAGTATGGATCACCATACTTGGCCACATGTCACTTCACTTTCACTTTCACTTACTCTCCTTCGCTCCTGGATCCCGTACCCACCGCCTACCTGCAAAGAAACCCATCTTCAGTACTCAGCTAAGAATCATAAGAACTATTATCTGTGTTGGATACTCACCCGCCTTTGCTTCAGTCAATCTGCCAAATCCATTCCCGTTAATAAACCTGCTAATTCATTCACTAACCTGTTGTCTCCGGCTGATCTGTGACAGCCACCGCAGTCTGTTCATTATCTAAATAAAATACAGTCAGCCAAACATCAATTTAAAGAGTCCGTACTCCGTAGTATAACTGGTCTACAGCTGCTATTATGCCAAGCGCATTTTTGCGCATGTGAAGAGGATTTTTTCCCGTCGATATGCGAGCGCATATGATGCCTAGTCTACATTTAAATAATAGTTTAACATTGAAATACATTGCGAATATGGAAACATTGGATTTGTGCCGAATGAGAGGTACATGAGCCCAACGGTACTTTCAGTTTCGGTTTACATATACATTTAGCAGAGCTTTTATCCAAAGTGACTTACAAGTTTCTTTAGCTTTTATATATATTTTTTCATTCTTTATCTGTTCTGCATACCGTTACATTTAAATGATTTGTTTTGGAGTGAGGGGAACTAGGCTATGATTTGAGTGTTTATAATGTTTATATAGTATAATATTTAACTTTATTTGGTATTATTTCTGGTATTATTATACTCTCTCCAAACGTTCTGCTGCTCACAAAAGAGTGGAGAGAGTGGGTTAAGCAGTAGCACCAATCAACGAGAGCGATTTAATGCACGCACTGTCACGATCTAATGCATTTGTTAATGCCGGATCTTTAAAACCAAATACTGGAACGCAAAAATCCCAAATCTGACATTTTCCGGTGTTCCGGTTTAACTGGTGACCGTGTTATCTGGTGACCAACTTCCTGGTTCAGGTCTCCGCTCCAGATGTGATGGAACGACCGCAGAGCAACCACAGAGCAACCACCATAGCACTGTATAACTGATACAGGCTTATGTTTTATTTTTCCTTTTTATTTGAAATATTTCCATGTTACCTATATCAGGAAATATAAAAATAAAGTCGTGCAACTTTAATCGTGAAGTCGTGGCCTAATGGTTAGAGAGTCGGACTCATAACCCAAAGGTTGTGGGTTCGAGTCTTGTACCGGCAGGGATTGTAGGTGGGGGGAGTGAATTTACAGCGCTCTCTCCCACCTTCAATACCACGACTGAGGTGCCCTTGAGCAAGGCACCGAACCCCCAACTGCTCCCCGGGCGCTGCAGCATAAATGGCTGCCCCACACTGTTCACGGTGTGTGTGTGCACTTTGGATGGGTAAATGCAGAGCACTAATTCCGAGTATGGGTCACCATACTTGGCCACGTCACGTCACTTTAAATATGTGTAAGTAAATCAGTTTTGCACCTTCATAGATTGCCCATCACCATTTATTGATCAAATAACAAAGTAGACTAATAGTAATCTATTAACTACACATAAAAATCTGTCTTTTTACTTAAGTACCAGATATGGGTGTCATAATATTTTTAATACAACTGACTTTGTATTTAATGTGAATTTAATAACAATATTGTAAGCTACTAATTATAACACTTTCAGTTTACAGAGAGCAAAGAACATTTACATTATCAAAGAACTATTTCATTCAGTCTAGCCAGAGTTCAGGCACTCTCATAGGGCTGGACGATATGGCCAAAATTTATATCACAATATATTTCTTAATTTCGGTCGATACGATATAATTCCTATATCGATATGAACACTATTAAAAAAAACCTTGTAAAACTGCCAAGAACGCCCACAACCGATGTCTGTGCAAACAAACTTATGAAAAATGAATTTGCCAAGTCTATGACACCTCATATAAAACCATATAATATTTTAGAAAAAAAACCCCCAGCACAAATAAATTAATATTCAACTTTTATTTGTATTTTGCCTTCATACAAACAAGAAATGTGAAATCACTGTCAAATAATCGTCTCAGACTCACCTAATTAATATTACTATCTTTAACTTCAAACTATAGGCTAACATGCACTACCAGTCAAAAGTTTTTGAACAGTAAGATTTTTAATGTTTTTAAGGAAGTCTCTTCTGCTCACCAAGCCTGCATTTATTTGATCCAAAATAACAGTAACACAAAAACAGTAACATTTTGAAATATTTTTACTATTTAAAATACCTGTTTTCTATTTGAAAATATTTTAAAATGTAATTTATTTCTGTGATTTCAAAGCTATATTTTAGCATCATTACTCCAGTCACATGATCCTTCAGAAATCATTCTAATATTCTGATTTGCTGCTAAAAAAATCTTTTATTATTATGTTAAAAACAGCGGAGTAGAATTTTTTCAGGTTTCTTTGATGAATCGAAAGTTCAGAAGAACAGCATTTATCTGAAATAGAAATCTTTTGTAACATTATAAATGTCTTTATCATCACTTTTGATCAATTTAAAGCATCCTTGCTAAATAAAAGTATTAATTTCTATAATTTCTTTCCAAAAAAAAAAAAGAAAAAAAAAAGAAATACTGTGTAATATAAAGTTAATTTTGTAAGGGAATTAATTATTATTATTTTAGCTCAGGTTTTGAGAGGAATCGAATCTGAAGATTCGAAATCAACCTGATTAGAACTGATTTCAAATTTGATAGTTTACACTTTATCAACTGTTCGTCCAGCGAGACGTTAACGTCTGTGTATCTTAACAATTTGAATATTTGTATTATCCCTGGCCACAGGTTAATACGCTTATGATCATTTGTAAGCTCCTACCTAACTAACGTGATCTGGGCAAGGTTTAACTTTAAATTCACGACCCAAGACAATGATTCTTTATAAATGAAACAAGAATTTATTTTTGAACTACTTCTATAGATTACATGGATCTAAAACTAATGAGAACACACACATACACACACACACACACACACACATACACATACAGTTCTGAAGAATGAGAGTTAACAACACTTGAGATGACGTAGGGGTGCATTGTTTAGGATCATCTAGGATTGTGTCATTGTGATTGCTCTAATTGTCAGAGGTTCAACGAGGCGGTATAGGCATAATCTCAATCAAGTTTGGGGAGTTCTCAGGTTCGGGTTCAGGTTCTTGGTCAGTTTTATCACGTCGGAACATGCGCGGGACGGCAGGCGTGCACTTGTTGAAAGACTCTTGGACGGCATTCACTCACTTGTGGAGGAGGAAGGCAAGTGTCAGAGTCACAACATATCCTACAATAGTAGAAACGCAAAGCGCTGTGTCTGCGGCAGACCAAGACCGAATGATTGGCGCGCCAGCGGGCGGAAGACGCGCAATAGCTTCTAAGGCTGTATCAACAGGAGTCAGATCAATAAGTTGCGTTCCTTCCTCCTTGAGCCTTTCTTCCAATTCTGGATCGAGGATGAAAGTATGCTGTTTGAAGAAGGGTGAGATTTCGAGTTCGGCCTGATACCCATCGTCGGTAAGGTGGTACAATGCTAAATCGTCAATGTGGAGGATCGAGCCCTTTGGGACATTGATCCATAAAGTTTGGTTGGGCAGGATAATGCGCATGGCAGTGTCGTGTCGATCGCGACCATGGGAAGGTCATTCCTTTCCGTTGCAGTGGTGCTCGGTGGTTTGGGTTTGCCGGTTGGGACTGGCAACACACCAGGCATCCTTTTACGTACTCCGCCACGTCTTGCTGCATGCCAGGCCAGTATGCTACTTGCTTGAGCGTTTCGTAGGTGGCCTTGGTGCCATGGTGTCCAGCGCATGGTGAATCGTGGGCGTGTGTCAGCATTATCCCCCTTTGGCCCTGAGGGACTACGAGCTTTGGCGCAGTGAGGGGCTCAGGGACATATGTGAGAACGCCGTCTTTGAGATGCAGCATGTGCTTGATCGAGTTGAGCGTGCGGAGATCGTAGGAGGTGGCTAGTTCGGAGGTGGAAATGGGATGAGTCAGTGGGTTTGAAAGGTGAGCTGCAATAGTTTGCAGTGTGGGATCCGAAGCTTGGAGGGTGAGGAGATCATTAGCGGCGAATTGAGGTGAGAGTTCAACGTGGGAGGAGGTGGGGGTTTGCGCGCCAGTGGCGTTCTGGAGGCTTGGTCATTGAGATCTTTGTCTTGTCCTGGTTGACATGAGTGACCTTGGACCTTTTTCCAATAAACCATCATGTCATGCTCAGTGACAATCGCATCGCATGCTTGAAAGAGTTCCTGATGTTTGACAGGCTTGTTGTTAGCTGTCTTGAATCCATTCAGTTTCCATCCAGCTAGATGGCATGTGAAGCTGAGACGGGCGTAGTTGGAGTCAGTACAGATGAGAAGTTCTTTGATGTTGTGGGATGCCGTCAGTTGTAGGGTGATGAGGATGGCCGCTATTTCTGCATATTGCGATGAGTGAGGGCCTAATTTGAATTGTTGCGGTGGGCAAGGGTCGTTGTTGAGCCAGACCACTCCCGCTCCAGCTTTTAAGTTGCCCTGTTGATTGTAAGAGCAGCCATCGACATATGCTGTGGTCATTCCTTCACACACATTCTCCTCGAAGTACTTGTGGTTTGTTAGTTGCAGTTGTGAAGGTTCTTTGGGTTCTGCTGCTGTGTACAGCGTGTCCGTTGAACAGTTCTGGCAGGCTGCTAGCCCGTTTCCTAGATATGATCTGTGGTTTTGGGCATATCTTGCTTCGACGTCTCCAAGCCATGCGATGATCTGTGGCTGGCTGGAGCAGTTTCTTTTAGCTTTGTCGTGAGGTAAAGTTCTTCGGAGGGAGCTGGTGAATGTTTCAGCACTGCCCCCTCCCTCTTTTTATCATGTGTCAGTCCAGGAACAGGGGACCCGGTCCTGCTTGGCAGGAGTGAGACTGGTGCCCATCGTGTCCTTGTCGGCTCAGGGCGCAGCTTGTAGGCATGTCTGAGTTCCTCTTTGACGCTGTCGGACTCCTCCTTGATGTAGTCCAGCTGGTCCTGCTGGAGGTGGAACTCTGTCGCTCAGCTTGAGGGTGGCGATGAGTGTGTGACTTAAGGAGCCAGAATAAGTACAATTAAATTTTCTTCTCTTTTTTTTTTTATTTTTAGGATTGATTTAGAAGGATGCTTCTAGACAGGGGTTAGATGTAAGCTAAACAGACAATTATATTTTATTGTAAAACCTGACAAGATCGTGAAATCGAAAGTGAAAGCATCCGAAGCCTGGCTTATAACATGGCAAAAGAGAAACTCCTATTCACAAAATTCAAATCACAAATAATAGAACTGATGAAAAAGAATGGGTTGAATGTTAACTACTTTCGTTTCCATATAACTATAAACTACGATAAAAGTTCATCAGCATGCATTGGTTAATAGCATGTTGTAGCGAAAAAAAAAAGAAAAAAAACGTGCAACCAACTGAGAAAGTTAATCGCAAAAGAGCGACCAGTGGGAAGAATGAGTCTGGAGCGCTGAATTGCCCAGCTCCCTCTGTTACTCAGCACCTGCATTCAAAATTCTCTGGAGCCGCCCCTGGTACATCGATGTATTTTTGAAAAGCAAAAATTAAGTTTGTCCAACTCTAAACCCAGTCCCCAAGTAAATTAGGTTATTAAATAAAAAACTAGCAAAACGAGTTGCGCGGTGTCCCCACCACTTTTCAAAGCAAAGTTACGCCACTGCACCTAAAGGGTTAAACTGATACCAGTGAAGGTGAAGGGCAAACCTTTAAACAAACACGATTAACCAACTGTGAGATCGCTAATCTGATAGTTGGTTAAAATCGCGTGCAGTAGGGTTTATTTAAGTTTGCATCTGTCAATGTCCTTTTCAATGGGAGGAGAGGAGCAGAGAGATAAGATGGATAAGTGTAAAAGAGAGAAAGATGAGGTGAAAGAACCCACTAGTGTGAGGGTTCAGATACACACGTTTAGATCACATCAACACTTCAAAACACTGCATTTAAGGCCACAAGATGTTACCGAATGCTAACCGCTAGCCTTCAATGCTAATAGTTTTGCATAGGCTTCAATGCAAACTCATTGGCTTCAGTTAACTTAGCTTAGGCTAGGCTTTGTTTACAAATAGCTAAAAAAAACGGCGCTGTTCATTCAACACGCTGGTATGCCACAATAAAGTAGTAACACAACAAACTCTGTTTCTCTGTCTTTTAATCTATTTTTCCGGATAAAAATAGAAAAGATTCAACACAATGTCTTAGTGTTATGAATTATGAGTCAAATTCTCTGCCAGCTTTCTTTCTGCACCATATGTAATTTTATAAATGAAACAAGAATTTATTTTTGAACTACTTCTATAGATTACATGGATCTAATACTAATGAGAACACACACATACACACACACATACACATACAGTTCTGAAGAATGAGAGTTAACGGAGTTCTGAGGAAATCCCAAAGTTTTAGCAAGATATTCGCTACAGTTCTTTACTTGCAACCTGAGAAAATCACAAAGCAGAGATTTGTCTTATCTTTAGAACTTAAGATCAATTCAGCACCGAACTTAACATATTAATAGCTTTATCTGCTAAAAGGGGTTAAAAACATTGATTAAAGTTGCAAGGTTACATTTTAACACCTCAAGCATATATAAGACATACAACATATTATTTGTGAATATAGTTGCCCTTTTATACGCATTAAGGATTGTCTTTTGAAATCATCCAGTGAATTTTGCGTGTTCCTTTGTCTCTCAAAGAAAAGCGTGATGGCTGTGGAGATACTCTTCAGTTTGTTTCTATGGAATGTGGTTGTTTCATGTTTGACTCCATAGTTTAAATGGGGCTGTTCGAACACAGAAATCCTACAACTGTATGTGACACTGAAGACTGGAGTAATGATGCTGAAAATTCAGCTTAGATTACAGGAATAAATTACATTTTAAAACATTCATATAGAAAGCAGTTATTTTAAATAGTAAAAATATTTCAAAAATTTTCAGTTTTTGTTGTACTTTGGATCAAATAAATGCAGGTTTGGTGAGCAGAAGAGAATT